CTGCTGGAACAGGAGAACAACAACCGCTGCTGGAACAAGAGAACAACAACCGCTGCTGGAACAGGAGAACAACAACCGCCGCCGCTCCCCGGTGCAGGGCTGGTGGCTCGGTTCGCTGTGGGGGGATTTCTGTGGTCTCCGTCCGCCGGACGGCCTCCCAGAGCCAGCCGGAGAGCAGCGTCGCTCCGCGGCGGCTCGCCGGGAGTGGCCGGGGCTGGCCGGGGCTGGCCGGGGCTGGCCGGGGCTGAACGGGGCTGGTCGGGGCTCTCGCCGGGGCTGAACGGGGCTGGTCGGGGCTCTTGCCGGGGCTGAACGGGGCTGGCCGCGGCTCTGGAGGTAGGAGCGACAGGCAGGGCTCCATCGGGTTCCAAATGAAAGCTGCCGAGGCTGGGAGGCTGTGTCGGGGGCTTCGGTGTCCCCACCGGTCTCCACGGATCCCGCTCCTCCGTGAGAAGCCGTGAATGTGTGCAGATGGGGTTTGATCCGCGTCCCTAATGCCCGCAGCATTTGAATGCTTCATTTTCTTGTTGCACTGGGCAAAACACTTCTGTCCTTTTTTGGTTGGAACTAATAGGAAGTGCACAGGAAGATTTGGCACCTTCAGGAAAGTGTTGCAGACTGTTAGTGCCTTCAGGGTAAAGATGAGGGTCTTCATCTGGGGGAGTTTCCACTCTTCTGGCAAAAGGCATCGTGTTCTTAAAATTCCTGTTCTTAATGTAACCCCTCTTGTAATTGGCCACAAAACGTCCTGAACAAGTATAAAAGATGCCACTGAAAGATTAAAAACCAGTGAGTGAAGATTCTTGTCCAGCCTTTCACAGCCACTCACGGCCGGACGGTGGTTTGCAGGATAAGGAAGGGTTCTCTTTCTCTTTTTGTGTTTGTGGGCAGGCGCTGTGTGAGCCATGGCGTCCACCTTACCCCAGCTCCCTGACCGGCTGCTGCCACGCCCCCGGCACCGGCCCTTCCTGTTGTGTGTGGTGGGGCTGTACAGCTGCCGCTGGAGAGGCCAGCAGAGGGGGGGGCCACAGGCTGGAGACTGCTGCTGCAACAAGGTGCTACAACCAGCTCAATGAGGGAAAAGGGATGGAACACAGAGCAGAGGTTCTTGGTATTGACAAAAGGTTATTTGTTAACTAAAGAAAAGATTCAGGTAAAGAACAAAGACAGCAATCACATCACAAAAAATAGTAACAAAACAGAACTCAAGCCAACTGCAGGATCCAAGGCAGCACAAACAACCAAACACAACCAACTAGAATTATTCACAACTGATTAAATTCCGGTGCCACAGCACATCCTCTCAAAGGAGTTCACACAGGCCTGGGCGCACGACAACAGGCTCCCGGGTCCTGGATTCCTGGCTCCTCAATTCCAGCGGATGGCCCCTCCTGATTGGTGGAATGGCATCAGCTCGTTAGTGCAGGAACCCTAGGAGCTGTAGTTAGGACTCAGGAAACGTAGAGGAAATCAACCCCTCCTCACAGAATCCGGGTTAGGGCAGCCCCTGTAGGGGTTAGGGTTAGGGTTAGGGTTAGGGGCAGCCCCTGTAGGGGTTAGGGTTAGGGTTAGGGTTAGGGGCAGCCCCTGTAGGGGTTAGGGTTAGGGTTAGGGCCAGCCCCTGTGGGGTTAGGGTTAGGGTTAGGGGCAGCCCCTTTGGGGGGGCTGTGTGCTATGAGCCTGGCTTTGATTCAGGCAGGAGAGGGCCTTTCCTGCTTTTGTCTTCCTGCTCTGTGCTATGTTCATAAAAATAGCTTCACTTTTGCCGAGCAGGATGCTGGAGCAACGTTTGACCAAACTGAAACTGTTTGTAACCCCATCAGTGGTTTAACTTCCGTTCATAGAAATGAACACTGACTACCGAATCTGATACAGGAGATGCATGACAACATGTTGGAGAGTTTTAGTGTTTTTCCGTTTTTCAGGCAGATACAGCTCAGAAAGCTCCTGCTGAGCACAGGAATGACTGGAGTGAAAATGGTTTGAACTGTTCTTTACTGCTCATTCCTAGTAGGGTCACAATAGGGGGGTGGAGCCTATCTAAGCGGACTTTGGCCAGAGGCGGGTCCACCCTGGACAGGTCCCCAGTCCATCACAGGCCCACACAGACACACACATTCAATCCAGACGTGTGACCTCTTTGAGATCATTTAGTAATATTTGGCAGCTGTGAAACAGAGTTTGTCTTCACTGTTGGATTCCCCCGTTTCTCTGGAAAAATGTAGGGTTTATCATTGCACCTGACATTTCTCATGAAGTCATAAGTCAGAGGCTGAGAAATCTTAACTGAACACACAAAAGTGATGCTTGTTAACAGTAAAGACAGCCTAACAGCATTTTTATTCTGGCTTCTATTACACGTCATTGTCAAGACCATCTGAGGTGCTCCACAGAAAGCTGCTGAGGACTGATGCAGATTTAAAAGAATTCATAGACATTTGTCAAAAGATCCTGAAAGAAAAAGGGAATTCTGCATCTTAGTTTTGTATGTATTTTATTTCATTCAGATTATCCAAAATAATCTCTTAAGGTTTTTTAATCTTTCATAAATTGGTAGTGAAGAGATGGTTTCCAGGCATGATGCCAGAGTTCAGTGCACATCACTGGACACAGAAAGCTGAGTCTGTAGCAACTCTCAAGCCCTAAAGCAAAGGTCAGTTTTCATCTCACAGAGCAAAGGAGCAGTAAAAGGAGAGTAGCTCCCTGTGTAAGGAGTGTTTGTGTCCGGCAGCTGGAGGGAGCCGCCTTCGCTGGGCTGACCTCGGCCTTCTGCCTCACCCTGGTGCTGCTCTACTTCTGGGGACAAGCAGAGAATGACTACAACGACTTTGACTGGTGGGTTGTGTGGTGGTACTTGTGCTTAGAAATGAAGACACTTGTTTGGGAGTTGAATTAACCAGCTGGAGATCTGCAGGAGGAGCCCCCCCTGCCCTTTACAGCCCTCCAGCTCGTTTTCTCCACAAGTATGATGTCAGGTTAAAGCTGCTCATCAGACTGTGCAACGGCACTCTCTGTTTTTAGTCTGTTGGTACATGCTTTTTATGCCAGTCTATCTGCTTGTTCCTTAAAATAGGGAATAAAATGATCGAGAATTTTAATTTAGAAAAGCGCAGCAAGAAAGACAAATGCTGTTTAGACCTCAGGAGATCAGATCTCTCTGCAAAACAGCCCAGAGGGAAGACGCTCCATCACAGTATCCAGTATCCACAAGCACAGCCTCTGTTTGGACAGGCTGGCCGACACCTCCCTGCTTTGCTTTGATATCTCTTATGATGGTCCTGGTTGTCCGGCTCTGGAAACCAGACCTGTCACCCTCTGGGTTTCAGGTCTCGTTCTGAGAATTGCTTGGGCTTTGGAAAGCTCTGCTTGCAGTCAGACTGCCACAGTTCATCTCCATTCTGGAATCCATCTGAGCCGTGACCGTTTAAAGTCCACCGGTTTCTTCTCTGTCATTCCTGGTGTTTTCTCCCCTGAGGATTCCTAACTCTGCCTGTCTCCCCTGTGGGCCTGCTGTCACTGTGGCTGGGAAGGTTTCTCTTTGGGAACTTGGGCTTCTGGTTCCCCTGGTCTGTGGTGCTGCTGGTCCTGGCTGCAGGCTTCTTCATCTACGTCACTGTTCTCATGGTGAGGCCCAACCCAGATTTCCTGTTAAACCGTAGCTTCCTCTTTGTTGTTCCTCTTCCTACAGCTATTTTGCTTTGCACTGCAAAAACTCATGGGATTTATTTCTGTAAAAACAATAAGAAAACAAATGTTCACCACTGAGAGGAAAGCACGTCATAATACTCAGTTGAAATGTCAATAAAAAGTTTATTAGGGGACTTTGACAGGTTTTAAACAGCGATCTGGCTCCTTGGCAGTGAAAAGATAACTGATACAGGGAGGAGCTTAAAGCCAGAATGTATGATATTTTTCGTCCATTTTTTTCGAGCTTTGGGCTGCAGGTTCAGGAGGGAAACCCAACCCCCCCCCTTCCCAATCTCCTCCTTTGGGATTCCAGGGCCAGAGGGACTTGAATCTCTCCATCTAGTCCAGGGTCTACCCCCCCCCCCCAGGGTTTTCTCTCAGTAGGGCGTGCCTGGAAAACCTCCATGGAGAGGCCATCCAGAGGCATCCTAACTCCACGCCTCAACCACCTCACACACCTTTTAGTGTGGAGAAGCAGTGGCTGCTCAAGCTCTTGATGAGGCTTTGGCTTTGGCTGCTCAGGAGCGGGTAGCTTTTCAAAACTCCTCCAGCTCACCAGACCCCCTCAGCAGCCCCTCTAGAGCCCCTCATGGAACACGGCCATAAGCCTCGTTCAAGTCTACAAAACACTCCCATGATCCCCTCTGTAAGTTAGAAAGGGTAAAGGTCTGATCCACTGGTCCACATTCTGGGGGTACCAAAGTGCTCTTCTGAGGAGGAGAAATTTTAAATCTCTCTCTTGTTTAGAAGCTTTGACAAATTTGGTGTCCACATAACGCCACAAACATGAGCTGACTAGTGTGCCGTTTTCCTCTGAACACACCAGTGGAGCAGGTGGGAGTGGAAAGGTTTCTTCTGCACTGAGGTCCTCAGCTAGCGCCGCTCCTCACAGTGTTGTGTGAAAGTCTGTGCTCATGTGTTTGGCACATTGTTAGTCCATTGTCTGGCCTCTGAACTTCTTCTGTGTGTGCAGCTGCTGGCCGTGTGCTTGTTGGCAGAAGGCCAGAAGCTTCAGTTACACTGGAGTCACAAGGTAACGGACAGTGGAGTATGGGCTCCCCACGGGTTCTCCTCCATGAAAACTGTGAATGGTGTCCAACTGAGACCAGCGTCCGCCTGCTGACAGCAGACTGGGTTTCCTTGTCAGGTTGGGATCCTGGTGAGCTTCATCTTCTCCGTTGTGGCCATCAGCATGTTGTCTGACTTATGGGCCAAGGAATGGATGACGCTGCTGCTTTCCTTCCAGGTGAGCTCCTCCTCTCCTCCTCCATCTCGCCTGGCAGTTTCCTGCTGTGCCGGCAGATCTGACCCGAGGCTCTGTGCCCTGACCAGGTAACTGCCCCTTACTTGCATGTGGGAGGAGTCTCACTGATGACATCACTGGCCTGGCCAGTAGCTCTGCACACTTTTCGCACGAGGAGCAGAGGTGAGGTTCACACTTTGAACCAAAGGTTCTACTCTATAAGCATGAGTCCAAAGGACTAGTTAGACACGTCTCATATTTCAGTCCAGCCAGCAGATAGCTGATCTCCACTGCTGGACAGTGGACAGACCAGCCTGCAGAAGGCTTGGTAATATGAGCCGTTGTAAGTGCTGTGTGTGCTGGCGTGTCTGCTTCAGTGAGGAGGGGCCTGATGATGGGGGTGTACCTGACAGCGCTGATGGGACTCTACATGGTGCCCCTGGGTTTGTATTCTCCATGCATTAAGGAGAAGGGGACCCTGGGCCCCGCCCCGGCTCTCATTGGTCACAGAGGAGCACCTATGGTGAGTTAGATAACATGACAAATTCAGAAGTCTTCTTATGTCTTTCTTCATCAGTCAGTTATTGACCTAGTTAAAAATGTTTAGAGATTGTGAAACCAACTGTTCACCGGACAGACTAAACAAAACAGGACTGCTACCAAAAGCTTTCCCTTCCTTTAAGATGTTCCATCCTGGATGCCAGTTAGTTTTGGCCCGGCCAGTTCATTCTGGGTGCCTCTGTTTGGCAGTGCCGGTACACCTGAAGCTGACGCAGGTTCACTGAAATGGAGGATTGGGTTGTGTGTGTGATTTTCTGATTTTTGTGCTGCAGCTCGCTCCAGAAAACACGCTGATGTCTTTTGAGAAAGCAGTGGAAGCTGGAAGTGATGGTCTGGAGGCAGATGTCACCATCAGGTTAGAGTGTTCAGAACTGTGTGCACAGCTCTGGTCTAATGGTCCTGAAAACACAACACAATGCAGCTCAGGAATGCTCATTGTCACGGAAAATATTCAATAATCCAAAAATAACCCCATGAAACCCACATAGCTCTGAGTGGGCTTCGCCTGATGGAGCGGGTAACATCGGCCTCCCCTGCTGTGCTGTGGGTTGTAGTTTGGATGGCGTGCCGTTCCTGATGCATGACCACACCCTGCAGCGCACCACCAACGTCCAGCAGGTTTTCCCCAGCCGGGCGGACTCCCCAGCGGCCATGTTCAGCTGGAGCCAGCTGCAAAGGCTGGACGCTGGGACCTGGTTCCTCTCTGTGAGTGATCATTCATCAGCGTTTCCCGTTAGCGCATGTGCCACACACAGCCACTGCAGCCTGAGCTACGCAGCACTGCTCGTCTAAGGGGGGCTTTAGAATCCTCATCAGTTCCAGACAGGCATGTGCACGTTCACCTTTGCATTTTGAGCAACAGCCAGATGTATTAATACTGTCACCACTCTCCATTTCCATGTTGGAACCTTGTTAGCTGAGGAGTAATTCATACCTCCCATACCTCTAAAAAAGGCCCACTCTGTATGCTTTGGGTATTTTTCTTCCTTTGTTCTGCCACTTTCTTGTTTTTATGTCTGGGACATTGTGTGCGGCTACCCTCACACAGACAGCAGCCAGTAGCTGCAGTACAATATGCCCAGTTTTTACTGGATTGCTATGTGAAGGATGACAAAGCTGTGAAAAAGTGTGGCTCTCAAATGTAAGTTCTGTAGTTCAACAGTTGTGTGATTGTAAAATAAGTCCTAGTTTAGGGAAAGTATCCATCAGTGTTGGAGAGTGAAGAGCAGGGCTGTTGAGGTAAGGAGGCGGTGGAGGAGGACACGGAGCTGCTGAGGCTCCCCCCCCCCCCCCCGTCAGGCGGAGAATGGCTTTGCTGGACAGTACTCATGTCAAACGGATGGCTGTCCCCTCCAGCTGGATCCCTTTGGAACGGCTGCCTCTCTGGGGGCAGAGCAGCGACAGCGGGCCAGGGAGCAGTCCGTCTGCAGCCTGCAGGCCTTCCTCCAGCTGGCCGCTCACACCAACAGAGTGGTCATCTTTGACCTCTACCGGCCGCCCACAGGCCATCCGTACCGGGACATCTGGGTTCAGCGCACGCTGGAGGTCATCCACAACCAATCATCCATTCACTCCTCACAGGTCAGGCAGGTGGATGAGCCCAGCCCACTGGACAAAATGGGCCTCTAATGCGTAACACACACACACACACACAGCCAGCCCCACACACTGTGTCAAAGGCAAACCCAACAACTCATGCAGGTGTGAAGACTTGGAACCTGACTGATGAAGAGTGTGAGGCCTAAATGTGGTCCTCTACAGGGTGGGTGTGCTCCTGTGTCCAGGTGCTGTGGCTGCCGTCCCATCTGAGAGCTCTAGTCCAGGAAAGTGACCCTGAGCTCCAGCAGACGTCCGGCAGCCGGCTGCCTCTGGAGGAGCTGCAGAGTAACCACATCGTCAAACTCAACCTTCATTACAGCTCCATGTCCACAGAGCTCATCAGGTGATGGTGTCCAGTACAAAGACTTCCGGGGCGGTTTAAGCTCCCACCTGACTTCCTCCTCACCTGTGCAGAGAGCATGCGGCGGTAAACATCACCACCAACCTTTATGTGATCAGCCAGCCGTGGCTCTACTCTCTGGCCTGGTGCTCTGGAGTCCACTCGGTCAGTACCGATGCCCCACAGCTGCTCAGGACCCTCAGGTCCCCTCTAGTGCTAATGGTATGTCATCTTTGTATGATATATATATATATATATATATATGGTGTGTACTTGATATGTTTTATGTCTGTATCCTTTTTCTCTGCTCCCAGAGTCCAGAGGAGTACAACCTGATGTGGATTCTCACAGATGTGCTGTCATTTGTGCTGGTCTTTGTCTTCTTCTGCTTCCACTGGTGAATCTCACACTCTCGCTCTAAATCCTCAGTTCTCAGCTGTATCCTGAGCCCCCCCGCCTCACTCAGGCAGCACTGTCTTCTTTTCAGGTGGAGAGAGCGGGAACTGGCCCTCTGCTCAGACAAAGGGACTCTGGACAGTGGCTTCAAATTCAAAACAGGTAAGCTGATGGTAACCGAGGTTCAGCTAAAGGTCAGTGAGGCCTGGAATGCTTAGGGCTTTGAGGAAATTCCTTTTTCACTGTTTATTTGAACACTTGGAAATGTAGTCATGAGTGCATCTACCAAACTGATTACATTTTTGGAATAATCTAGACAGTAGCCCCGTGTAGTTGAGAGCTATTCCTCTGGCTTCTCTTAGTTCCTGCTCAGCCGTGACGTGCTTGTAGCCCACTAATCTTTCTGGCTCTAATCTCACAGAGATGAGTGACATCTGGTCAGTGTCCAACTCTAAGTCCCAAAATGGAGCAGACGGCCAAAATTCCAGCAATGCCAGAGCGCTAGCTGCTGAGAGGAGCTGAGCACGGCATGGACACGCTGCCAACCTGCCGGGTCCAGTCCACTCTGACCAAGGAATGTGACAGCAGCAGATGTCCAGATAGCAAGCTCTGTGCTTATGTTTGCTTTCAGTTATTTAAATCATTTTAACCTTAAAAAAGTGCAGTTAGCCTGAAACATGCCCTCCAATCACTGGGTAACGGCTACTGCTGCTTGGATAAATATGAAACCTGTTGTTCATAATTTCTTTAGTTAAGAGAGAGACTGAAACAGAATTTGATCTGTAGAGCTTAAAAAAAAAAAGAATCACACAAACTTGTCTCCAGTTATGGATCTCTATTAAAGTAGAACTATATTTCCTATTACATTATTTTAATCTACCAATCAAAAAGTTTGATAGGAAAAAATGTGTGTACCAAATAAAATGTTGCATATTTTCATGTTTTTATTTAAAAAAGTATGATGATGCAGTGAGTAATAACTTGTTTGACTTCTTGATGCACACTCAGTCCCGATGAAAGGCTTCCGTCACCGGAGGGAAAGCCGCTGATCATACGCAGTCAGGAGGGAGCTCTGTTTGTGTGATGGTGCGGTTAGTCTTACCACAGCAAGTCAGTCTTTTCTTTGCAAAATCAGGATGATTTATTTTTCTACATAAACATGTGAGATCACATCACAGATCAAATAATTTCTTCTTCATATACATTATTCCAAAAGATATGATTATGAAAGCTAATTATGTTTATAGTTAGAAAAAACAAGAACAAAATCATTCCCCCTCTACAGTGTCCACGTCTGGGTACAAATCTGAGGATCAGCTGAAACCTTTTGTGGCAGCCATACATGAAGGGCAGTTTTACCAACACAATAAAACAAAACTTTACCCACATTTTTCTCTAAATTGAACAGAGCTACACTTAAATCCTGGATTGTAAAATAGTGCAGAAAAAGCTTAAAAAGCTTACAAGCTTGAATTCTAAAATGAAGAAAAATAAGGGGGTGGGGCGGGATGGGTCTGAATAATGAAGCTACTTCCAGCTAGGGTGAATGAAAAACGTAGTAATTCAATCTGGGGAATGAGAAATGTCACAGGTCTAGTTGGTTATTTTATTTTTGAAATGTTACCATTAGTTTATTAGATTAGTTATCAGGGCGTATGTTTGACAAGTGTCAATTGTAGGAGTTTAAATATCAGACAAAACAAGAGCTGCCAATGTCCATTAACAGATTATAAAGTTCCTGCATTTTAGGATATGGTAGCAAACCTGTAATAATACATAGAATAACTTCCATTCAGTTGAATTGTCATAAAATTGCAGTGAAAATAAAATGTCTGTCACACTGTTTTGCGGACCTCAGAAGATCTGGTTTATGGTTTTAAAAAAGGAAAGGGAGTAAGTTTTTTAACGATACACCCTTCATCATCAGTTTAAAGAAGAGTTTGAGAAGACCTCAGTTTTGGGGCTTTTTATTATTGAATCCTACTCAATGACGTGATAAGGGCTAAGAATGAACGGATAACTTTTCATTTCATTTTTTTGTATAACCAAAATAATGACGTTCAAGTGTTCAGCATCGGTGCTGATATTTCAGAAGAATATGTCTGGACATTCTGGAGTAATAGAGCAAACCAGTAGTGGGCTGAGAACATGGATTTAAAGGCAAAAGGTGACTTAAGACAGGACTGATATGTAATCACAGAGATGGAAATGTTCAGAGAAACCATTTAACCAGAGGGTTCATTTGTGTTTTTAATCTGGTGTGTTTTTGTCTGCTTCTTTTTCTGTACTCAGAAGGTCCAAAAATGAGGAGGACTCCCTACATGTTTTATTCTGAGGGTCAGAACTGGTTTGTGAGCAGGAGGTGTTCCAGTCCTTCAGTGTGGTGGTTAGGGGAGGGGAGTGGGGGGGCAGAGGTGATGCTGACTCAGGTTTTGTGGTACATGCTTGATGGAGCAGCGGCGTGCTCACTTACTGTTGCCCCGGGACGTTCTCTGTTTGGTCATTGTCGTGAGCATCTGGCTGATGTAAGAGGTCAGGAGGTCATCCATCTTGTAGCCCTGAAGGATGAGAATGTTTTTACTGGAGTGTGCCTCGCATAATTTCACCACGATGATTTTCATGCTGCAGAATGAAGTGTTTGCAAAGGAACAAATTACTTTGGTTCAATTTGTTTTTCTGTCTTCCCTTTTAATGGAACCACTGTCAGCTAGGAACAAAAACAGGCCTTGTTTTCTGTGAGAGCACTTCCATGTTCCAATTTATGATCACTTAGAATTAGATTGTAAATATTTTTTCTTCTTCTGGTCGGCCTTAGCTTTGTAGTGTCAGTATACTCTGGAACCATAATCGAAGGTAAAACCAAGAAAACTGGCTTAGATGTCAGTAGTGTGCACACAATGGGAGGAGAATCTTTCTAAGGCCAAGAAAACCTGAGCATGTGCCACCTTTGTACAAGTAGACTCTCTCGATCTGAATCCAGGTTTGAACACATTTAAAAGCAGACGTGAAAGCCCAGCAGCTCACCAGGGAAGTCTCACAGAGCAGCTTGCTGCCTCGCACCAGGTTTCCGATGGTGATGTGGAAGTAGGTGTTGCCACTGCTCCAGTTGGAGATCTTAGTGAAAGGATGAGTGGTAAGGATGTCCTACAGTGAATGAACACATGAACAAAAGATTTACACCTCCTCGTGTCAAGGTCTAAAACGCAAAGCTAAATGGATAAAAGTGTCCTCACCTTTGTTTTTGGATCTATCAGACTAACCCCGTGCTTGTTGATGGCTATCAGAAGAGTTTCGGGGTAATTGGGGTCAGTTGTTTGCTGCAGAAACATGAAACAGGCTTTCTTACAGTATATTCCCAGCCAAGGATTAAGAGCTTATCTAACATTCACCATGCGCTTAGCCCACCCAGACCAGCTCCTTTACCTTGACCTCAAAGAAAGCAGAGCCAAAAGTGGGCCACTTGTAGATGATTTTTAGGAAGGAGAGTTTGGCGTCTTCACGCGTCTTCCCAGAATGTTTGTTGAACAGTGTCATGATGGACTGAGAGGGAAACAGAAAATCTGATCAGACTTACTTGTGGTTGATCCGTCTTGAATTTGACACAATTTATCAGTAATAAATGGCTATTAAATTCTATGATCCCACTTTGCTGTTAATAAAACATGCAGTTTATTTCTGATTAAACCGATCATCATGTAGATGTGTCTGGATTCAGTTTCTGTTGGTTGAACTGTCAGCTCACCCTCTTCCAGTCGTCCGGGGACAGATGTCTGATCTGGTCCTGAGGGACAAGGTCTTTCAGGATCTTAGAAATGTTCTGGAAGGCAGATTTATCATCTTCAAACTTCACTCTGTAGATCAGTGCTGCCAGCTGATGCACCTCCTCCTTGGAACACTTGTGGTAGCCCCGCAGATACTTGGGGAGCTCCTGTAGAAACGAACAGAGTCAAAGGCAAACAGGAGGACCGGAAGTCAGAAGACCACTTTCCATCTCAAGCTTCATTCTGTCATCCTTTCATTGTCTGAGCTGCTAAGAAATGAGCCACAGTGCCGTCTAGTGGACGGTAGCATGATGTAGGTAAAGCTGCTGAGCTGCTTTTGACCTGGAAAGAAAATAACTCAAAGAGGATAAATGGAATTTACAGAAACACATCAGGAAATTAGATTTTTTTTTAGAAATTAGCTAAAGATCAGAATTCATGTCTTTATTTCTGTTATCTTCATGAAGTTTGTTGTTTTTAGAACGCTATAAAAATCTTTGCAGGAGCTGGATTGGGGAGAAATGGTTTCTTTGAGTTCTGCTTGATCATTTTAAACAATGTCTATGCCCAGACTTTTGAGGCATATGATTGGCTAAAATTGAGACTTGGGCACCATAATGGCCCACTTTTCTGTTTAGGCTTTTCCTCTGATTTATTCATTGTTTTGGCTTTGACTTGTTCGTGTGCAGGGAGATGGAGGGGCTGAGAAATAAAGCTCACAAGAGGGCTTGTCAGAAGGAAAGAGACTGAAAGATGACACAGAAAGGGTGATGTTTGTTTTTTCTTTATGTTTGTTTTGCATGATAGATTTTAACCTCTGCTTCGTCTTATCTTACAACACATTTTTTTCTTTTCAGAAAAAGAAGCTAAATCTTCCATTTTGTGAGTACAAAGTGCAAAACAACTTAAATTTTTAAGAATAAAATGTCATTTTTAGCAACACTCACTTGATAGAAGTGGAAGATGAAGTCAGCCATGGAGTCTTTCCCTGGCACGGTGTTGGTCCACAGCTTCTTCATGAAGAACACCTGATAGGTCAGAGAAGGCACCACCCCTGCACTCCCTGGGCACAGAAGGAGCCACATTCAGCATTTCAGTCAGGTGGAGCCCTCGTGCAGAGTAATCTGGGTGTTACAATGAGTTCATTGTTTTACCATCTTTTACATGTCTCGCTTTTTTAATCCAGTCGGTTAGGTGCCTCACAAAGTCAAAGAAAAAGTCCCCATCAGGCACACTTATGACCTGGAAAACCAGAAAACAGAAGCTTTTGGTGATGTGTACATGTCGAGGTGATTTTCAAATCATGTCAAACTTTGACTCATAGGGATATTGCATTTGAAATAATTGAATCAGGACAACTGACTTCATCCCAAAGACTGTGCAGAAAAAAGGAACAAACAGACGTGATTACATAATGCAAAGGTTAAATTGATTTCAGGGTGTTTCACAACGAAATGTCAGTTCTCTGAAGGATGGGGGGAGATCACAGAAAGAGAGGAGCAAATGGAGAAAACAGGGGGCCAAAAAATGAGCTGTAAAAGCTTGTAAAAAGCTGGTAAACCGAGACAGTTTGACTGGAGACACAGGGGGAAACCCTCATGTAAAGCAGCCAAGAAGTGGCTCATGATGTCCATTCAGAAATGCCAGAGTGACAAAGAGCCTGTTCTGGATGCAAATAAACCTCCAAAGTAAATGAAGCAGCAAATACAAACAGACACAAAAAAGGATGAACTTCTACACAAAACTCTACAGGAAATTCCACAGGGAATCCAAAACTAACCAGGAGCAGCTAAACAACCAGAACGCAGCTCAGTGAAAGAGAGAAACGGTAAAAACAAGCAGGCTGGAAAAGGCAAGCCCCTACAGGACGCCCAACAACTGCAGACATGTGCAGAAAACCAGCTCAGGACATGGAGCATCACGCACAGCTAGGGTTCTATAATCAGTCAGTCAGTAGAAAAGCAGTGTGAGTTAGGGTTAGGCCTGAGGGGTATATTTGATCTCCTATCTCACCCACAATCCCTAGCCGCTCCTTCCCGGACCCCGTGGGGTTTTTCTCTACAACATGCTTCTCAGTGACTTCTCACCTTATCAGTGATCTTCACAAAAAGACTGAAGCCCTCTGCAGACTTCAGCATAAGACGTCCAGAGATGTTGTGGCAGAAGTCCTTGGCCTTTGTGCTGGACTCCACCTCAAACACCTGTTCACACACAAACACCAAACTGAGACCTGCAGACCCCAACTCAGAAAAGACCTCAAACTGTGCAGATAAACGGGAACTCTCAGTGACCCTGAATGGTGGTGTGTGATCAGTGGGCTCCCTCTTACAGTCACAGAGGTCAAATGCATTAGAATGCAAATCCACTGACCTCGTCCGAGTCATCAGGGAAGTAAACCTTGTGGAAGATCTGGGTGGTCTTGTGCTGGATGGCCTCCACCTCCACCAGGTGAGGGGGGTACTTTCTTGATCCATTACTACAACAACAGAACAAGGGCTGCAGATGAAGACACTGCAAAGGAAGCCCCTCCAGGAGCCGTGCAACGCCTCCATGATTTACCGTAAGGCTTTTTGGAGCCGCTGCATGCAGTCTGGAGCCAGCGGGTAGTGTTTCTTGGACTGGAGAAATTTCTGGACATGGGGCAGCAGGATGTTGCTGGGAGGAAATAAACCAGTGCAGAGCCACAGCAGCTCCCAGCCTTTCTCCTCACTGAACCTGCAACAGGATGGGGAGTTTGAAAAGCAGACACCAGATGGTGCACTTCCTTTGAGGAGTTAGAGGTAACATGCAGAGAACCTCCTGGATGACTTCCTGCAGTATGGGATGTGGTTGGATGTGTGTTTTTAGACTCACTTGATGTGATTATCGGTAAGCTGTTTGAGAATCTGACAGAAGATTTCATCTTTGAGTGGCTCGGCCTTCAAAGCTCCCTCAAATATCTGATCAGTGAGCTCATTGATGGAGCGCACCCGTTTGGATGGGTAGTCCCCCATATATTTCATCACAGGTACAGACCCAGTCAAGGACATCAACCCTTAACATAAGAAGCAGTTCAAAGAAATATTCTTTCAGGTATTGTAGGATCCAACAGACACAGCTGAAGGGTTAAAAAAAACCTTTGAGATTTCCTGTAAAACTCCATCCCAGTCAGATTTTCTCTTCAGCATACTTAAAAAAAGGGACAGGAATCCTAAAAGCTCTTTAATTATTAGATAACTGTCTCTTGTTATCATTTAATTATAAAATGGTATGGTCCTAGTGATAAAATAGACCTTAAAACATATAAAAAGAAAGACTTTGTTAAACAGCATCCTTTGTGGCAGTGGACACGTGCACCGTTTCCATCCATCATGACATAATGATAAATACCCAGCTTGTTTCAGGTATTTACTGTTACTGATTTCAAACGCACATCAAAGCTGAGAAGAATACATAGCCAGACACATAAAGCTGGTGTTGTAGATCAGCACATCTGTTCTGGTGAAGACCCAGTGAATGAAAGACTGGGCAATTTTGATTGTCTAACTTTCTTCACTGGAGGTAGACTTGTTCAGTGTGGTTCAAAATGTATTTTAGAGAATAGTGTGAAATCTGTTCTGTCAAACACAATATTAGGTTTAATCAAGCATAGCAGTGACTTAGGTGGAGCTTAAAAGGAAAACTGGTGTAAAGGATATCTATGAAGGCCATGCAGGCCTCCTGGGAGAGCTCCTCGTGAGCCAGGACCTTCTTCAGCAGAGGCTGTTTGAGAGGCTCCCTGGTACAACTCCACAGACGCTCTTTACCTCGCGCCTTAGAGATCATCACTCTGCTCAGAGTGCTCTTTGGTGGAGCCCTGGGTTAGAGGAAACAAGGTCACATCAGATCTCTGTGTTGGAGCCATGGCGGCTTAGTGATGTACCTGAAGTGGTCGTAGGAGAACTCCTCCAGTGTGAAGGCCTTGGACTTGTCTTCCTGTTCAGACAGCACCGTCTGAGACAGGCTGACGGATTCTCTCCTCTGGTCAGGAGTCATAGTCACAAGAGCCTGAGACAGTCAAATGGGAGGAGGAATTCAAAACAGCAAAACAACATGACGTCAAGATGGGACACTAAAATCTTAGAGAAGAAATGTGTTGACCACAAATAAATAGTTTGGGGGTGGAAAGCAGAGAAACATTTAAACAGAAAAAACTAAACATGTTAACGTGTGACATATTTTTAGCAGATTAAGATAAACAGTCTGCATCAGACTTGAATAAACAAAAAAAACTGTTTCAAAGATGAAATTTAGAAAGCAATCACATCCATGCAAAGTGAAGAATCAGCTGCTCTAATGGCTTCCAGAGTGAATTCCCCCTTCTCTATCCTCACTATATTTGGTATTGTTGTAAAGTATTCTCACATCTATACAAAAAACACATAGCATTTACTATTCTGTTGGTCTGAAAGCAGATATTGTTTAAATGGAAAGACAAGCACGCTCCAACGTTTAAATTATTGTGCATTGGCACTGACCACAGCGAAAATAAGATACAGTATCTGGTAAGAGATGGATCCCTCTTTAGAGGAGTTTAAAGGAGTCATATACACCGTTTTCCTTTTGTTTTGAATATTGTTATTTAATGAAAACACAAATGTCTACTGGTGCAATATGCGGGGGTTGAATGTTCACTAAAAACAAGCTTTATACCCCTAATGAAGGATTAAAAGTACTACATTCTGCACATATTTCAGCTGAAAACCTTAGTTTGTGAGTTTAGGTGATAAACTCATAGCTGCAGTAAAAAAAATATTTGGTGTATTTAGAAACAAGAAATGGAACTGAGAGGGCTCCAAACGGTTTGTTTAAAACTGCAGCAGTTGCTTTCCTCACTTTACACATTTTCCTTGTAAAAACAACACCCATCAGTCCACCCATCCATTGGCTAAACCTGCTGTGAGAAGCAGGAAACACCCGGAGAGGTCACCACTCCACAGCTGGCGGAGGCCGAATGCTGGGCTGCCAGCACTCACCACTATGTCGTACTGGGGCCTGGTGATGGTGGGCAGCACGTAGACACAGTCAGCTGGGAAGTCTCCTCTCTGTTTGGTCTTGTCGTTGATTCCATGAGCCCAGCCCGAGTTCATCACGTGTTCCCCGTCGTGTTCATCCAGGATGATCAGATCACCTTTAGTGAAACTCAGGAAGGTGGAATTCATCCCTGCTGCAAAACAGAGCCCACAGAAAGGCTCACAGTAGAGCAGACAATAGCAGGACCAGCTTTGACACCATCACTGGAGCTCACCAGGGTTCACACAGTCCAGCAGTCCCACCACATACTTCGACTTCTTCCTCAAACCCTCAAGGAAGGTGACCACCAGATCCCGAATGTCCTCTGCATTGTTGGAGGTGAACGTGTACTCGTCTCCTTTGATGGTGGCCAACGTGAAACTCTGACCTTGGAGTTTACCCCCCCTAAAAAGCATTTCCAAAGCATGGATTTTTCAAAAGGTTAAGTCAGAAAAAAGATTTTAAAGGATACATAGTTTTAACGAAATGAGGGATGAAAAATTACAAACTGAAACAGTCCTCTAAGCTCTGATCCTGTGTCTGTTAATAAAAAGGCTCTATAAGGAATAGTCCTTAGATTCTTAGTTACAGCTTACTACTGCCAGACTGTGTGCATTTCTAGTGGTTTTCAGTCAGGTGAGGTGTGGTACCTGCTGCTGGATACGGCTGTAATCTCTGGAAACGACAGCTCCAGGAGGACCTGTTCCTGTTCATCCACAAAGTAAACCCCGGTCCAGTTCACGGCCACGATGACGTCGTTCTTAGGAAGACTGGGCCCTGGTAGCACACCGGGGCACATGCATGAGAGCGAGCACAGGCAGCCACAGGGCCAGAGCTCACGTGACATTCAGGCTTTACGCAACCAACCAGAGAATTTGAAGGCCTCATAGAAGCGTGAGAAGAGTAAGGGCCATTTTAAGCGGGCAAAGTCCACCACATCCTCCTTCACCTTTTGTGTGTTCAGCCTCCTTTTGTTGTGTAGTCCCTGCACAGCAAGCCACAGTTATCTGTGCTCGCACAGTGTCAGCAAAGTATCAGATTTGGTTAGCACAACACTAGCACCTTTTTGTGGGCGTTGATGATAAGCTGAGCCCACTTCTCTGTGGGCTTTGTGCCGGTGATCTCTCTGTCGGGGATGTAGGACGGGATGAGGCTGAGCAGGCGCTCCTGGAGGACCTCTGAACCGTAGTCCACATAGTACTGCTGGGAGGCCAGCTCTGCTAGGTCCTCCTCCTTACAGAAGCACACAGGGAAGGAAAGGTCTGAAGTCAAACAGCCGTTTCACAGCTGATTCACTTTTCAACATCAACGTTCTACCTTTAGATGGTACATCTTATATGAATGGAATAAAGATGAGCATTTAACTCTTCCACTTTCACCGCTCCAAATCTTTTCAACAACTTCAGATCAAATCACCCGTCAATCAACTCTTTCATAACCGTTCCACTCAGTACCCGACCCCTTTGGCCCCTCCTATGGGTGGTGGGGGGCGCATGTGACCCTTTCGGGCTGGGCCTGGCTGGGCTCCATGGGCTAAACCCAGCCAGCAGGCGCTCACCATCGTGCCCCCCCTTCAGGCCTGGCTCCAGAGTGGGGCCCTATTGGCCTGCGTCCGGGCGGGGGAACACTTTGTGTTACTCTACATAAGGGGTCTTTGCTGCGCGTCGTCCGATGCCTCACCTGGGACCCGTCTGCCTTGGGTGACCCTACCAGGGGCTTAAAAACCCGGAAAACATAACCCCTTGGGTTATTGGGACACTCCAACCCCTCCACCACGATAAGGGGGCAGCCCCTCCCTTTGAAAAATATTTTCCAAAGATGAATACTAAAGGTTAATATTCTGGACTCAGGCCTTAAAGTTGTAAAAAGATTACCACACGACTTGGAAGCAGTATAGTTTTTGGAGTAATGAATGTTTGATAAAAAAACAACACTTTTAAGCTTCAGTGGTTGAAACTGTGTATCATATTTGAAGGCTATAAAATGCGTTTTAACTTTGACTTCATCAAATCTTTTCATCAACTGCAGACCTTATCATAGGCATTAAGTCTGATATGATATTCATATTTTCCCTCCAAATGTGACCTGAGCATATTCCCAGGTCAGCACGCAGCAGCTCCGCACAAATTCTCGCATTTGTGTGCTGAGAGGAGTCTTCGTGGCAAAAGAAAGAGTTCAAATGTAGTGTCAGAGCTGCTGGTCCTGGAAAGTGTAAAGTTAGGTTACTCTGAGGTCTCTGCTAGACGTGATCAATCTGTCCTTATTAACAGGCTATGTGCCACAGTACTTTAAAGTAGCTGTAATTAAACCTCTTTTGAAAAAGCCTAACCTGGACCCAGATGTTTTGGCCAACTATAGACCTATATCCAACCTTCCATTCATCTCCAAGGTCCTGGAGAAAGCAGTAGCCAAACAGCTGTGTGACTATCTAAATAGCAACAGCTTGTTTGAGGATTTTCAGTCAGGATTTAGAGCTCACCATAGCACAGAGACCGCACTGGTGAAAATTACTAATGACCTCCTAATGGCGTCAGACAAAGGACTCGTCTCTGTCTTGGTTTTATTAGATCTTAGTGCTGCTTTTGACACCATCGACCATCAGATCCTACTACAGAGACTGGAACATTTCATTGGCATTAAAGGAGCCGTTCTAAGTTGGTTTAGGTCCTATTTATCAGATCGGTTTCAGTTTGTGCATGTTAACGATGAGTCCTCCATGCATGCTAGAGTTAGCCACGGAGTTCCACAAGGATCCGTTCTCGGACCAATCCTCTTTACTTTATATATGCTTCCTTTAGGTAATATTATCAGGAAACACTCTATCAACTTTCACTGCTATGCAGATGATACTCAGTTATACCTATCGATCAAGCCAGATGAAACTCGTCAGCTAGCTAAGCTTCAAATGTGTCTTCAGGATGTTAAAACCTGGATGACCTGCAATTTTCTAATGTTAAACTCAGCTAAAACTGAAGTTATTGTTCTAGGGTCTAAACACCTTCGTGACGCATTATCTAGAGATATAGTTTCCCTGGATGGCATCGCCCTGGCCTCCAGCACCACTGTGAGAAATCTTGGAGTTATCTTTGATCAGGACATGTCGTTTAACTCTCACATTAAGCAAATTTCAAGAACCGCCTTCTTTCACCTTCGTAATATCGCAAAAATTAGGAGCATCCTGTGTAAAAATGATGCAGAAAAACTAGTTCATGCATTTGTTACTTCTAGGCTGGATTACTGCAATTCCCTGTTATCAGGGTCTTCAAAAAAGTCCATTAGGACTCTTCAGCTGATCCAGAATGCTGCAGATCATATTTCTCCTGTCTTGGCTTCTCTGCACTGGCTTCCTGTTAAATCCAGAATAGAATTTAAAATCCTTCTTACGTACAAAGCTCTATATGGTCAGGCCCCATCTTATCTTAAATAGCTCTTAGTACCTTACTGCCTTACCAGAGAACTGCGCTCCCAGAATGAAGGGTTACTGGCAGTTCCTAGAGTCTTGAAAACTAGAATGGGCGCTAGAGCGTTCAGCTATCAGAGTCCTCTTTTGTGGAACCAGGTTCCAGTTTGGGTCCGGGAGGCAGACACCGTCTCTATATTTAAGAGTAGGCTTAAGACTTTCCTTTATGATAGAGCTTATAGTTAGAGTAAGTCCACCCCTGGTTGTGCTGCTATAGGCCTAGACTGCCGGGGGATGCATCATGATGCACCGAGCTCCCCTTTCCTTTCTCTCTCTCCCTCCCGGTGCAAGCTCATTCCATTAACAATGTTACTAACTGGACTCTCTCCCTTCCCCGTAGTCGTGTGCTTTCTCGTCCCCCTTCTCTCTCCTCTCTCCTCCTATCACTTTTTGCAGATATTCCTGGCTCTGGAGCTGTGGGGTCTGGATCTGTGGTTGGGAGTCTCCTCCTATCACTTCCTGCAGGTGTTCCTAGAGCTGTGGAGTCTGGATCTGTGGTTGGGAGTTTCCTGCTGCCCCCGTGTTCCTGCTCTGTTGCCGTCATAACTTCTACCATCATCATTAGCATTAATATCATTGCCATTTTTCATCTAGTCTATGTGTTGCTGTGTTGGCTTCCTCTCTCTGCTCCTTCTGTCCTTCTCTCTCTCTCTCTCTCTTGCCCTCTCTTTCCCTCACCCCCAACCGGCCGAGGCAGATGCTCCCCCACCCTGAGCCATGGTTCTGCTCGAGGTTTCTGCCTGTTAAAAAGAAGTTTTTCCTTGCCTGTGTCGCCTAGTGCTTGCTCATGGTGGGAATTGTTGGGTTTCTGTAATTATCTTCAGAGTAGGGCCTGACCTGCTCTGTTTGGAAAGCGCTGTGAGACAACTGTTGTGATGTAGCGCTATATAAATAAAATTGAATTGAATTGAAGATAGGAGGATAAAGTATGTTATGGCTTTTGTGTTTCTATGGTTATTGCCATGCATTTGGAAGCTAACAGAACCAAGTCCACATGGAAACTCATCGTGGTGAGACCATGGGGCCTGTAGTAGCTTCAGTGGGGTCATCACAGCTAAACCAGTTTTGAAGGTGGAGACTTAGGTTGATATAGTATTCACGTAAAAATCTCTGAATAACCATGTATAAAAAATTTGAGGATATAATAGGAAACAATGGGACCAAATCGGTAAGGTAAAGGGTAAATCCTGGCCATTTCATAGAATTAGCTTTCAAGCTGTGTTTTACTGAAAATAAACCAGGAAAAGACCCTTGGGAAGGACTTAGTCCCTCGGCAGGACTGGGAACAGCCTCGGGATCCCCGGGAGCAGCTGGTAGCAGTGGCCACGGAGAGGGAGGTCAGGGCCCCCCTGCTGCCGGCCCCACACCCGACTCGGAACAAGTGGAAGAAGATGGATCGTTTAAACAACTACTAAACTACTAAACTACTAAACATCTTTATTCAAATTAAAGCCAGAATTTAAATTTGGTTTAAAATAAAATAAAATGTATATATCTAAACTGAAATGGTCAAACCGTGTCATCTGTGTGGTTGGTTTTAGCATTTTTCCAGGCCGGGCAAGAACCAGAGACTGTTTTACTACTTTCTCATTCACAAAACGTAGAATGAACCTTTTTTCACACGACTCTAGGTCATGCATTTTCTGACTCTGCTAAATTGTCAACAACTCTCTCATGGAACAAACCCTTGTCCCAGCTCAGCCTTAAGGCATCACAACCTCAGCCTGTGTGTCCGTAGTTTGACAAACCCGTCGCTTACTCTTTCACATCGGTACTCTCCAAACTTCACCCCTCGGACGATCTGCTGGTAAATCAGGTTGGTGGCTACATAGTCCTCAGCCGGGTTGTGCCAGGGGCTGAAGATCTCCTTCCTGAAGAACAGCCTCCAAGGGGCGTTCCTCTCCTGGGCGCCTTGCTCCTTTGCGTACTGCTCACATTGTGAGACAGCATCCATGACATGGTCACTGCCGCTGCCCAGGGAAGACACCTGGAAGAAGAAGGCTCCGTCACACTGGGCAGAGCCCCGTGTCTCCGGCAGGTGCTCCGGGATGGGGCTCCGGGCGTACCTTGTCAAACAGAGCGATGTACAGGGAGAAGCCAAAACGATCCCTCAGGCTGATCTTATCTGCCAGTGCGTTGCAGAGCTCACTGGCTGTGGTGGCCGAGTCTGCCAGTAGGGTTTTTGTGGTGCCATCCATAAAGGTCACAGGCAGCATGATGGGCTTCTTAGATTTTGTGGCCTAGGACAAACATATCAGATTCTTGTTCCAAATGCTCCACAGCAATACATTCAGGTGCTTTAAAAGCAATATACAGTGGGGGAAATAAGTATTTGACCCCTTGCTGATTTTGCCGGTTTGCCCACTGATAAAGAATGCAACGATCTATAACTTTAATCATATGTACATTCTAACAGTGAAAGACAGAATCCCCCCCAAAAATTCCAGAAAATCCCATCATATGAATTTATAAAAATTGATA